TTACTTCCCCCATTAAAAAAATTTAAAAAAAGAGAAGATATCGGTTCCGTGAAGGAAAAATAAGGTGCAAAAAAAAAAAGGAAACTCATGAATTAAAACTGTGACTGTAGATTTGAAAAAACACAACACAAGGACTGGACTGGTTTAGGTAGAAGTCGTCTCCCAGAAAGTAGTACAAAAAGAGAAAGGAATAGAAAATAAGAGAAAAGATAAAATTAGAGGACCCATTTGGGAGACGGAACATCTGAATGATGGGAGATCCAGACGGGGAAACAGAGAAATCCGTGGGGAGAGAATCAACAAAAAAGGAGAACTTCCAAGTCCTGAAGAGCATGTGTGTTGAGACTGACAAGTAGACAGAAGTATCTACACACTCCAACTACAATCATGCCGACTGTCTATAAATACATAGAGGCCACTATGTAAGCTACGCTCCTATCAGAGACCAAAGGAAATACACGTAGGGAAAAAGGTATTTTGTTATGATGATGATATAAGTGGTTTACATTTTAAAGTTATTTGGTGACATGAGTTTTAAATGTTATTTTCAATTATGCTGATTACTTGTATAAATTAAAATGAAAAAGCTTTGCTTGCCCTGCTCCCAAGTACCTATAGAACAAAGTCCAAACTGGCCTAATGAAAGTAAGGCTCCCCATTACCTTACGGCCTTACAGAATTCTCATCAGGTCCTACTGAAGTGTGTTCTGCCTGCCCGCTCCCATCACTGGCTACTGCCCTCCACCTCCCAGCTCTCCAGCCTTATCAGACCATCCACTGTGAGAGGCCTTCCCTCGAGTCATCTTGAGGAATCCCCAGCATCTGGCAAGAGCACCTCCTCCTCCCCATATGTGTCTCCATGGTAACACTTATCTCTTGGCTATAGCTGAGTTATCACTTGGCTCAGAAGCCTGTTCTCAGGGTGGAGAAACTATCCTCCTGGGGTCTGCCACACACTAGAGGCACTTTGAGCAACTGTTCAATGTTCGGGGAGCCGAGATAGGACAGCTGCTGTAATGCTGCCTCTTACAGGAAGCCTTCCTGATTGCCACCGCTGCCACACCATTCCAGGGGAAATCAAACATTCCCTCTTCTGTGTTGTGTTCTGGGAACTTGGGTGACATTCGTTCTCTTTATAACTCAGTTTCCTGAGTCAATCAGGGTACCTATCTTACCAGGTTACTGTGAGGATTAAATCAGGTGACAACTGATTTACACTGACAACACTCCATGCCAAGCTCATGGTAAATACTCAGTAAAAAGAAGTCATTGTGATAATAATTTGACATTTAATATGACATTTGTCTATCTCATATTGCATCATGTACAAATCTCACCTCCTACATTTGTTGATAAACTGCTGTGGGTGGGGAACATATCTGATTGATCTTTGTATATTGCAGTGTGTGGCATGCAGTCTGGCCAAGGCAGCCATCCAACAATCCATTCGTGACTGCACAAACCAGCACACATGGAGGTTGTACACATGTGCAGGTGTGTGCACATACTTAGGGACACACACGTGCCAACATGTTTTTTGTGCTCAGCTTGGCTGACCATCTGCTCGTAGCATTCACCTGCAATGACCCTCTCCTCCTTCTGGAAGGGCAGCATTCTCCAGCTGTGGCTCCTGGGACTTTCTCTTACCCGGATTTCTGTCTGTGTCCCCATAATGCCATCTTGACCCTGCTCTTCTCGCTTTGGACACTGTTGGGTGACTTCATCAAAACCACAGATACATTGGGAAAGTATTGAAAGGGAGTGTGCCGCTCCCCTCACCACCACAAAAAAAAGCCTTGCCTCTTGTTTACTGAAGAGCTGCGGTCTCCCAGGCCTCCCTGAGTCACAGAAGAGCGGGCTCAAGCAGTCGATGAGGACAAGCCTGCAGGCACTGGGGGATGGCAACGACTCTGACGACCTGTCTCAAAGAGTAACTGAGATCATTCCTTCATTTCCTATAAAATTTTCATGACTGAACAGAATCTTTGGAGGTGGTTTCTTAGGAGGGACGCTGGGTTCATCAGATTGCAGGCATTCTGGTTAAAAGCAGCTTTCCTTTTCGTTCCCAGGATCACATCCCTGCCCCTCCCTCAAATAGAAACTAATTACTCTTCTCTAAGTCTCAGGAGGCGGCTGCAGAGAAGAAACAAGAACTGGTTAGAACCCAGTCCAAGACGGTGGAGGATTTGACTTCCAGCGGACCTTGAGCCTCATTATTCCCTCATCGTAATGTATTAGCATGCTAAGTGACATGCCCACCAGCACCATGACAGTTGACGATTGCCATGACAACAACGGGAAAAGTCCACGCAAGGACTGAAAAACTCCAGCAAAGACTGATTGGTTCCATCACAACCAGAAAGAGGACATGACAGTGGCAGCCTCTCAGAAAAGTCCACGTGGCCTGACCTGGGCCAGAGCTGCTCCTACCAGCCATCTTGGCTGCCGGCTCCCAACTGGAGGGCCTCACCCCCATCCCCACCTCAAGTGCTTTTCCTTCCCTTCTCCTGCTTGAGCGCTTTCCTTCCTTTTCCCCTTCAGAGCAATAAGGAGCTATTCACGTCGTTCCTCTGCCTCTGCTGTGTGAATTCTTTCACAGTCGGCGGCGGCAGGAACCCACACTTTGGTGGCCTCCTAATTTAGGGGTCCCTCCATCCGCTAACAGTATGGAAAAGTCATAAGCCACAGTTATTGCCAGCCGATCCCTCCCTCCTGACCCCAGACCTGCAAAACCTGAAAACATCCTCCCCTCCTTCCCGCACCTCCCTCCCCAGGGCCTATCACAAGACTCATGGCTTCTTACACCTGCAACAATTGCTCACACATGAAGCCACCATCTTCCACTCTCCTCTCTGCCCCTAGTGCCACTGTGTCACCTCAAACTCCTCTGCTTTTCACCTGGACTCTGTACCAGCTCTCCTCTATTGATAAAGGGAGTTGTACATAGATATGTGATGAATCACCTATAGTAAGTGTAGAATCTAAGTGGTAGGTATATGAGTGTTCATTGCAATTCTTTCGATGCCTTTGTGCTTCAAAATTTTCATAAGATGTTGGGGAAAATATCCTTCTATGGTTTCTTTCGGCTTCTTGGATAAAACTCAGACTCCTTCATATAGAACATAAGGCCCTGTATGATCTGACCACTGCCTCCCTCTATCACCCCATCTGCTACCACTCACATGTCCCGTTCCCCCATCCTGAATTAACTGGAGACCCCAGGAGAGTCATGGTATTTCATTCCATGGACTTGCTGTTCCCGATTCCTGGAATGCTCTTCCCTAGGTTCTTCTCATCTCAGATGACGCCTCCTCCAGGGAGCCTTTGCTGACCTCTCAGTTTGAGGTCCCTTATCTGGTTCCTACAGCCCCGTATCTCAGCAGAAATTTATGGCACGAAGGGCCTCCCCTAGGGCTGGATTTGCAGATATGTCGCAGCACTGGGACCTTCCCCTGAGGACGGGGCTGCAGTTAAGCGACGTTTCTGAATCACCGATGATGATCTCTCATTTCTTCCCTCAGAGGACATATCCTGGGGCACCTCCCCTGTGCCTGTGACAAACACACTTCAATAAACACACTTAGCAGGCTGCGAGAATCCTGAGGCTGAGGCTCGAATCGACAGGCTGATCTCGGCGACTCCAGCTGTGAAAGCTGACCTGGCCCGGGAGCCCTGGAGGAGGCTGCTGGTGGGGGGCTGTGCCCTGCTGGGGGAGGAAGAGGTCCAGGCTGGGGTAGGGAAGAAGGCGGGGCCTGCAGCTGTGCAAGTCGGCGTCCCGGGCCTGGGACGGAAGTTGCAGAAGTACAATTAGTTTCAGTTTTGTTTCTCTTTCAGGGACCCAGCAACAGTGGCTTCCGGACCTCAAGGCCCCCCACTCCAGTCCTGGAGCCCAAGGTCAGCTCTGGCTAGGTAAGGAGTGGGGGAATGGGGGCGGTTGAAGTGAGAACTGAACTGGAGGGAGCGGGGGAAGGGAGAGAGCGGGAGGAAGAGGAAGGGAGGGGGGAGAGGGACTCAGAAGGCAGGAGGGGAGGAGAGGCTGGGCCTGAGCAACCCGGCCGCCCCGGGCCTTACCCCTCAGGCCGGAGAGCCAAGGCCTCCCTGGAAGCCCCCACGCATCCACTCTTTGAGCTCCCCTCCCAGCCCCTGCTTCCTGGAAGTTTGGGAGAAATCCTCCAAGTCTCTTTATCAAGTGTTTCACAGCCACTGTGCTGGGAGCTGGGGGCATTCACAGACACTCCTCACGTGACTCCGACCCACCATAGGTTTCTAGGAGAGCAGGAGGCCTCCTGCAGCAGGAAAGGCTGAAAGAAAAGGGCCCGAGTTGCTGGGGAACAGG